CTGACATTCTGGTAGTTAATGTACTAAGCACATGATATGCATATTTTATTTAATCTACATAGAAACTTCAGGAATGAAAATACCATTGAATGTAACACAGAAGAAATTCAGGGGTTGACTGACCTTCCTTAAGTCATATCCTTTAATTTGACAATGTTTGCAATCCAAGCTCTGTGGTTCCGAAAAATGAGATTTGTTAATTCAATTAGCATTCCCTCATCTTCAGGAGTACTAGCATTATTTTACACCCTCATAGGTCATTTAGAGTTCTTCTGTGATTTGTCTTGTTATACTCTGCCTATACTTCTTTGGGAATTAATATTTTCTTATTGGTTCATAAGAATTAATATACACCATTTTAGAGATACCCTTCATCAAATGTGTTGAAAATATGTTTCCTCATTTGTTACTATTTATATCTGCCACCATTTGTTGAATTGAACTTTGAAACAAAAAACAATAAAAGTTATCAACTTTTCTAGGGTCTCTAGTTTGATGTCAGGCTTAGAAGGCCAATCTCACCTAGAATTTTATGCAGTTCATCATTTCCTTAATGATTTTCTAAATTACAACTGCATCACTGGTTGTTACTGGTAAGGTAGAAATTCCAGAATGTTAGTTTCCACATGGTAAGTCAATACACAAAAGAGGTCTTATTAAATAATTGACTATTTCCTTGTAGATATTAACGTACCATTTTATCACATGGTAAAATATTACATACGCATGGCTCTCTTCCTGCATTTTCCACTGTGTTCTATGAACCTTTTCACTGTAGTTCCAGCACTGCCCCCTCTTCAGCACTGTAGCTTTAGAGTTCTTTTCACATTCTGATAAAGTTTCACTCATCATATTTTTGTTTTAAGAATTTTCTGTGCATTCTAATGTGATCTCAGTTCTCTCCCTTCTCATTTATAAACCATGACACTTCTGTCCAGAAAGGTTTTGTCAGGCTCCAAGGCAGGCAAGCTTTCCTCCTCTACAAGGTCTCTGAGAACTCAGCTTTGAGCTGCTCCTGCGGCAGCCTAATGTCCTGCACGTGTGGCCCAGAGGCAGATGGAGACCACCTGGAGTCGCGTGCCTTTCTCTTTCCCAGCTGGGATGACAGCAGAAACTGAATTCTCTGAGCTAGGCCAACACAACAACCGAGAGGGACACAGCTCTGCATCTTATTCTGCATATTTTAAACATGTGTCTAAACATATTTGCTACAGAGGAGGTGAAAATCTGTGTGCACTACTGGATTTTCACGATTGTTTTACTGGACTCGTTTTGTTGCCTAGATCTCCATCTGAGAAACCAGGTGCCCTGCAGATAGCAGTCTGAGCTCTGAGGGTAGGGCTGCCAAATAAAGTATCGAGTACCCCGGAAATGTGGAAGTGCAGATAAATACCAAGTTTTTAGTTTAAGTATGTTCCAAATATTGCATGACACATCATCCTGTATTACTTTAAAAAACCAAAAAACCCACACTCGTACTTCAATGCATAAAAAACCTCTAATAAAGTGACCACACCCACAGAATCCCATGCACGGCCCACCTTCACCCCCCGCTCCACACACCCATTTAATTTAGAGGAGAGTCCAAGACCCACCAACATACCTCACCCTCAGTCCTGTTAATAAAGCAGAGTAGCCTTGTGTGCTGCCTCCTGTTTCCTTGCAGATTCGAAAAGGAAGGTGGTTCCTGGCCCTAATCAGAAGCTTCTGGCAGAATGAGGCCTTGGCAGCGGCTTTACTTGCGCAAACGCTACAGTGCAGGGTGTGAGCCTGCTGTGCACTGCCCGGTCCAAGGGCTGGGTCTGTTAACTCCAGGCTCAGCTTCCCCCAGATCTGCACTCCCTCCACCGCAGGCCTGAGCTCTCCTTGCCCCTGGCTCTCTTCTGCAGAGAACTTGCTCTCAGCTGCCACAGGAGGGCGCTGGAGAACGGGCCTGAGCAGAGAGGCAGGTGCTGCTCTGCAGGTCCTCCCAGGCACCACCCCTTCTGGGAGGAAAGCTTGGGAGTCCCCTAAGACAGATCTTTAGTCAGTTCTCTCTGCCTGTAACTCAGGAAGACCAGCTCCCTGACTGCCTTCTGTGCCAGGGATCACTTCCTTGTTGAGTGGGACCTGAGTTTTGATAGGGTGTTCTGCTCCTCTTCATCTGGTCCCTTTCCTTCCAATGCCCCAGACAGGAAGCCATGGGTGGGTCCTAGCCCTGCTTCTAGCTTTCCTGCCTCCTGGTGAGTGTGCTGCCTACAGAGAGGCTCACGGGTTTTTTCTTCTTTTGCAAGGTGTGCCATACTAAGGAATGCCTCATTATATTTTGTGTTGTTCCCATTACAGGCAGTCAGAAATCTTCCAACTTAGAAGGGAGAATGAAGACAGTCACTGGAACAACAGGGTCGTCTGCTGTAATCACTTGTGATCTTCCTGGAGAAAATACCTTATACATCCACTGGTACCTCCACCAGGAGGGGAAGGCCCCACAGCGTCTTCTGTAGTGTGACACCTACAACACCAGGGTTATGTTGGATTCAGGAATCAGTCCAGGGCAGATGGATAGCTATGCAATCATGAGGAGGAGCTCGAAATTGATAGTGCAAAATCTAATTGAAAATTATTCTGGGGTCTATTATTTTGCCAGCTGGGACAGGCACAGTGGTTCAGACCTGCCTACACCACACTGAAATCTGCCTTGTGGCAGCTTGTAGTACAGAAGATAGAGCTGTCCCCTCTCATTTCCTGCCACTGAATTTACTGTATTCTGTACAAAGAGAAACACAGTTTTACTCCTGACTTCCCCCTAATATCACACTCCCTGGCAGCAGCTGCACCTGTTCCCCACCCCTCCCCCAGGACTCTCCTGAAGACCAAGCTGCCATCTCCAGGCCTCAGCTAAGCAGCCTGCCTGAGAGCAAGGCTCTCTCAGCTCTCCTAGGACATGGGTGAGGCCCACTCAGTCAGCTCCCTAGTGTCCAGCTGTCAAGAGAGAGATTTTGGACAGAAAATGGGAAGGATATTTATACTGGATCATGTATCCAGTCATTGTCTAGAGATTGCAGCTTTGAGTGGTGTTCATCTCCTATGTCTATAGCAATATAAGGAGTAATATAATCACCACTAAATTACTCGGCCTAGATGTGCAGTTGAACCTTCTCTTCCACTGCCCTCCTTATTCTTTCTCTACTTTCTTGGTTACTTGCTATTTTTCTACACTTCTCTTCCCCTGACCTCTCCTCCCTCCCTCCCTTCTTCCCTCCCTAGCTCAGTCCCTAGCTTGCTTCCCACTTCCCTCCCTCGTTCCCTACCTCCCTTGTTCTGACCTACCTTCCTTCCTTCCTTCCTTCTTTCCTTCCTTCCTGCCTCTTTCTTTTTTGGGCACACAATCATAATACTTTTCACCAAAATCATCGACATTGATACACCTGGTTTATTTGTTCCATCTTTGGTTTTATATTCTGGAAGTTTGTTGTGTAGATTTGATTTGTGTCTGTGAAACATTTACATGGAACTGACGCCAAAAATTATAAAACATGATAGATTCAGAGATTTTAACTTCCATTCTAGAATTCTCTTTCCTCTTCTCTCTCTCATCCTATAGGCAACAATATCTTTTTCGGTTCAGTTGAGCTTTTTCACTTTTTCTTATTCACTCAGACGTCTATCACTATTTCAGAAATACGTATTTTGTTTGTCATATGTGCAGTATGCACTGTTTCTATTGGAATGTCATATTTATTTTTTGCTGTGATAATCGGTTTTTATACATTTTAATCAATCTTTTATTTTCTGGCATCTGGATTTTGTGTCTTACTTGGAAAGGTGAACATACTTCGGAGTATGCACAAAGATATTCATACCATTTCATTAATATTTGATTCATTACTTGATATTGATATATCTGGAATTTTTATACAATAATTACCATAGTAATAATAAAAATACTGATGGCAAATTGGGTACTGACTTTGTGGTAGTTACTGTACCAGTAAGTCAGTATATTACATGCATATGTTATTGAATCCTCACAGATACCTTATTGACAGATTAAAGCACCATTGAATATAGCAGATGAGAATTGAGGGTTTATGTAACATTCCCTAAGTCGTATATTTTAATTTGATCGCAATTTCAATCCAAGCTCTGGAGTTCAGAAAGTGAGATTTGTTCCATTTGCATTTTCTTATCTTTATGAATACTAGCATTATTTTACAATTTTATAGGCTGATTATACATCTTTTGTGAACTGCCTTTTCATACTCTTTGCCTCTTCTTCCATTGAGGTATTAATTTTTCTTATTTGTTTGTGAGAATTGATATACACCATTTTAGAGACAGTGCTCTTCTATCAAACGTGTTGAAAATTTTTCTCTTCATTTGCTATTATTTATTTTGGGCACCTGTTGGTGAACTGAACTTTGTATATTACTTTTAATAAAATCTATTAATTTTTCTAAGGTCTCTATTATGATGTCAGGCTCAGAGAGAACAATGTCACCTATAATTAGTATGCAATTCATCATCATTTAAGTCTAATGATTTCCTGTTTTCAGTTTTATTACAACTAAATTTCTATTTGTGCTGTTTAATTTAGCAAGCCAAGAATATGTGTTTCCATATGGCAAGTCAATTCCCAAAGAAGAAAATATTAATCAAGTATTTCTTTGTGGATATTAACATACAACTTTATGACATGATAAAATTATACATACTCGTGGCTGTGTTTCTGGACTTACCACTGCATTCCATGAATATTTTCATTCTCATGCCAATATTGGCCTCTCCTCAGCACAGTTCCTTTTACATTTGCTTCTCTTATTAGTTTTTTGTTTTAATGATTTTCTATGCCTTCTAATGTGATGGTAATTCTCTTCCTTCTCATTTTTAAACCATGAGAGTTCTGTCCCAGGCAGGATTTTCCAGGCTCCAAGGCAGGTGAGCGTCCCTCCTTCACAAGGACCCTGAGGACTCAAGCTTTCAGAGCTGCTCCTGCGGCAGCCTCGTGTCCTGCACGTGTGGTCCAGAGGCAGTGGGAGACCACCTGGAGCCCCCAGTCTTTCTCATTCCCAGCTCTGATGACAGCAGAAACGGAATTCTCTGAGCCTGGCCAACACAACACCCAAGAGGGACATGTTCTCCATCTTATTATGCATATTTTAAATGTGTCTAAACATACTTGTTATAGAAGAGGTGAAAATCTGTGTATGCACTACTGAATTTTCACAATTATTTTAACATACTTGTTTTATCACCTGTATCTCCATCTGTGAATCCAGGTTCACTGCAGATATCAGTCTGCTTTTTGGGGGTACAGTTGCTAAATAAAATATGCAATATCCAGGAAATTTGGAAGTTCAGATAAATAAGTGTTTAGTTTAGTATATCTCAACTATTGCATGACATAGCACCCGGCACTACTTAAAAAAAAACAACTCACACTTGTACTTCAATGAACTGAAATCCTCTAATAAAGAGATCACACACAGAGGAACGTGTGCACACACACAGAGAAACATACACACATACACACTCACCCAGGATCACACACACACAGCCATTTACCTTGGAGGGAAGTCCAAGACCCACCAACATACCTGACCCTCAGTCCTGTCAATAAAGCAGGTTCAGGCCTTCTCAGAGTGCCCCTGGGTGTTGATCCAGTGTCCCTGCAGATGTGAAAAGGAAGGCGGTTCAGGGCCCTAATCAGAATCTTCCTAGCAGAATGAGGCCCTGGCAGCGGCCATACCTGCTGAAACATTGAAGTGCAGGGTGTGAGCGTGCTGTGCACTGCCCCTTCCAAGGGCTGGGCCTGTTAACTCCAGGTTCAGCTTCCCCCACATCTGCACTCCCTCTGCTGCAGGCCTGAGCTCTCCTTGCCCCTGGCTGTCTTCTGCAGAGAACCTGCTCTCAGCTGCCACAGGAGGGCGCTGGAGAATGGGTCTGAGCAGAGAGGCAGGAGCTCCTCTGCAGGTCCTCCCAGGCAGCACCCCTTCTGGGAGGAAGGCTTGGGAGTCCCCTAAGACACTTTTCTCTGTGACTCAGGAAGACCAGCTCTCCCACTGCCTTCTGTGCTAGGGATCACTTCCTTTTTGAGTTAGATCTGAGTTTTGAGAGGGTCTTGTGCTCCTCTTCATCTGGTCCCTTTCCTTTGAAGGCCCCAGATAGGAAGGCATGCTTCTAGCTTTCCTGCCTCCTGGTGAGTGTGCTGCCTAAGGAGAGGCTCACGGGTTTTATTTTATTTTGTTTCATTTTCTTCTTGTGCAAGGGTGCCGTACTAAGTAATTCCTCATTATATTTTGTTTTGTTCCCATTGCAGCCAGTCAGAAATCTTCCAACTTGGGAGAATGAAGACAGCCACTGGGCCAACTGGGTCATCTGCTGTAATCACTTGTGATCTTCCTGTAGAAAATACCTTATACATCCACTGGTACCTCCACCAGGAGGGGAAGGCCCCACAGCGTCTTCTGTACTATGACCTCTCCAACTCCAATATTGTGTCGGAATCGGGAATCAGTCTAGGAATGTATGATACTTACACAAGCAGGAGAAGAAGCTGGAAATCGAGACTGCAAAATCTAATTGAAAATGATTCTGCGGTCTATTACTGTGGCGCCTGGGACAGACACAGTGGTTCAGACCTGCCTACACCACACTGAAAACCTGCCTTGTGGCTGCTCCTGCTGCACAAGACAGAGCTGCCCCTCTCATTTCCTGCCACTGAATTTACTGTATTCTGTACAAAGTAAAACACAGCTTCACTCCCGATCTCCGCCTAATATCACACTCCCCTGGCAGCAGCTGCACCTGTTCCCCACCCCTCCCCCAGGACTTTCCTGAAGACCAAGCTGCCACCTCCAGGCCTCAGCTAAGCAGCCTGTCCAGGGAGAATGTTCTCTCTGCTCTATGGGGGAGGCCCACTCTTTCTGATTTCTAGGACAGTAGCTACACCTAGAGTCCAGCTGTGAGGCGAGATATTTTGGACAGCAAATGGGAAGGGTATTTATACTGAATCATGTATCCAATCTTGGTCCGGAGATCGCATCTGAGAGTGATGCTTATTCCTTATGTCTATAACAGTATACGCAATACTGTAATTCCCACTCAATCACTAGGCCTAGATGTGCAGTTGCTCATTCTCTCCCTCTGCCTTCCCTTTTTTCTCTCTCCTTTCTTACTTGCTTTATTATTTTTCTCCCCCTCCCTCCCTTCCTTCCTTCCTTCTTTTCTTCCTTCCTCCATTCCTTCCATCAATTTTCCTTCTTTTTTTTCTTCCTTCCTTTTCTCTTTCCATTTTGGCTACATAATTAGAATAGTTCTTCTGCAAAATCATTTGAAATTATTTCCTCTATTTGTTCATTCCAACATTGATATAGCTAGTTTGTTTGGTTTTTATTTCTATATTTTGAATTTTTTTATTATTATGTTCTGTTTCATATTTGTTTTGTATACATAAACCACTTACCTGGAACTGAAGTCAAAATTTTAAAAGATGATGCATTTGAAGCTTTTAGCTTCCATTCTAGATTTCTCATTCCTCTTTTCTCCCTGACCCTATAGGTAAAAATACTTTCATCAGTTCACTTGAACTTTTCCACTCTGTAATAGTGCCGTATGTATTGTTTCTTTTTCAATGCCATATTTATATTTTCATTCTTGTATTGGGTTTTTATACATTTTAAACAATCTTTTATTTTTCTGTGTCTGGATTTTGTGTCTTACTTCTAAAGGTGCACATACTTCATAAGTTTGCATAAAGAAGTCCATATCATTTATTTGAATGTTTTTATGCATTGATTATTGAATGATGGCATCATCGATCTATCAGGATTTTTATACAATAATTACTATATTAATAATATGAATACTGGCCAGGCCCGGTGGCTCATGCCTGGAATTCCAGCATTGGGGTAGTCGAGTCGTTAGGATCTCTTGAGGCCAGGAGATTGAGACCAGCTTAGCCAAAGTGGTGAAAGCCTGTCTCTACTAAAAATATAAGAAATTAGCTGGCTGTAGTGGCGCACACATGTAGTCCCATCCACTTTGGAGGCTGAGGCAGGAGATTCTCTTGAGCCTGGAAGGTGGAGGTGTCAGTGAGCTAAGATCACACTATTGCACTCCAGTTTGGGCAACAGAGCAAGACTATGCCTAAAAAAAAAAAAATTAATAATAATAATATTGCTGGTAAATATGGGCACTGATATTCTGGTAGTTAATGTGCTAAGCACATTACATGCAGACTTTATTTAACCTACACAGAAACATCATAAAGGGTTTAAAGTACCATTGAATGTAACACAGAAGAAATTACAGGGTTAAGTGACATCCCCTAAGTCATATACTTTAATTTGGCAGTGATTGCAATCCAAGCTCTGTGGTTCCAAAAATGAGATGTATTGATTCAATTTGCATTCCCTCCTCTTTGGAGTTCCAGCATTATTTTACAGCTTTATAGGCCATTTATAGTTCTTCTTTTGAGAATTGTCTAGTCATATTCTGTGCCTATTCTTGTTTTGGAGGATTTTTTCATTTGTTTGTAAGAATTAATATAAACCATTTTAGAGATAGTGGTACTTGATCAAACTAGTTGAAAATATTTCTCATCATTTGGTATTATTTTTTGCACCACTGGTAAACTGAACTTTGTATATTACTTTTAATAAAATCTATCAATTTTTCTAGGGTCTCTATTATGATGTCAGGCTCAGAGAGAACAATGTCACCTATAATTAGTGTGCAATTCATCATCGTTTAAGTCTAATGATTTCCAGTTTCAGTTTTATTACAACTAAATCTCTATTTGTACCTTTTAAGTTAGCAACCCAAGAATATGTGTTTCCATATGGTAAGTCAATTTCCAAAGGAAAACATATTAAATAATCAAGTATTTCTTTGTGGATATTAACATACAACTTTATAACATGATAAAATATTACATACCTGTGGTTCTCTTTCTGTACTTTCCACTGTGTTCATGAATCTTTTCATCCTAGGGCCAGTATTTGCCTCTCTTCAGCATGGTAGCTTTATAATTCATTTTACATTCCAGTGGAGTTTGCTTCTCTTATTACTTATTTGTTTTAAGGATTTTCTATGCCTTCTAATGTGATAGCAATTCTCTCCCTTCTCATTTATAAACCATGAGAGGTTCAGGCAGGATTTTCCAGGTTCCCAGGCAGGTAAGCTTCCCTCCTTCACAAGGACTCTGAGGACTCAGCTTTCAGAGCTGATCCTGTGGCAGCCTCATGTCCTGCACGCGTGGTCCAGAGGCAGAGGGACTGGAGCCCCTTGCCTTTCACGTTCCCAGCTGTGATGACAGCAGAAACAATTCTCTGAGCTGGGCCAACACAACAACCGAGAGGGACATTGTTCTACATCTTATTCTGTACATTTTAAATATGTGTCTAAGCATATTTGTTACAGAGGAGGTGAAAATCTGTGTATACACAACTGAATTCTCACAATTATTTTACTGGACTTGTTTTATCATCTGTATCTCCATCTAGGAATCCAGGTCCACTGCAGATATCAGTCAGCTTTGTGAGGGTTTGGTTGCTAAATAAAATATCCAATACCCAGGAAATTTGTAAGTTCAGATAAATAAGTTTTAGTTTGAGTATGTCCCAAATATTGCATGGCCTGGCACCCTGTACTACTAAAAACAAACAAAGAAACCTCACACTTCTACCTGATTGAAGAGAAATCCTCTAATAAAGAGATGACTCACATGTGTACCCCCCACACACAAACTCATACAGGATGACAGAAACATCTGCTCACTCCACACAACCATTTACCTTAGAGGGAAGTCCAAGGCCCCCAACATACCTGATTTTCAGTCCTGTGAATACAGAAGGTTCAGGCTTGCCCTGAGTGCCTCTGGGTGCTGCCTCCAGTGTCCTTTCAGATGTGAAAAAGATGGCAATTTAGGGCCCTAAAATGGGCCTGGCAGAATGAGGCCCTGGCAGTGGCCTTACCTGCTGAAACTCTGCAAGGATCCCCGCAAGGATCCCCCAGGGCTGGGCCTGTTAACTCCAGAGTCAGCTTCCCCCACATCTGCACTCCCTCTGCTGCAGGCCTGAGCTCTCTATGCCCCTGTCACTCTCTCAGCTGCCACCGGAGGGTGCTGGAGAACAGGCCTGAGCAGAGAGGCAGGAGCTCCTCTGCAGATCCTCCCAGGCACCACCCCTTCTGGGAGGAAGGCTTGGGAGTCCCCTAAGACAGGTCCTCAGTCACTTCCCTCTGTCTGTGACCCAGGAAGACCTGCTCCCCGCACTGTGCTAAGGATCACTTCCTTGTTGAGTGGGACCTGAGTTTTGAGAAGGTCTTGTGCTCCTGTTCATCTGGTCCCTTTTCTTCCAAGGCCCGAGAGAGGAAGGCATGGGGTGGGCCCTAGCCCTGCTTCTAACTTTCCTGCCTCCTGGTGAGTGTGCTGCCTACAGAGAGGCTCACGGGTTTTGTTTGTTTGTTTGTTTTTTGCAAGGGATGCCATACTAAGGAATGCCTCATTATGTTTTGTGTTGTTCCCATTGCAGCCAGTCAGATATCTTCCAACTTGGAAGGGAGAATGAAGTCAGTCACTGGGACAACAGGGTCATCTGCTGTAATCACTTGTCATCTTCCTGGGGAAAATACCTTATACATCCACTGGTACCTCCACCAGGAGGGGAAGGCCCTGCAGTGTCTTCTGTACCATGACCGCTCCAACCCCAGTTCAGGGAAGTATAATAGTTTTCCAATCACTAGGAGGAGGTGGAAATTGAAACTGCAAAATCTAATTGAAAATGATTCTGGGGTCTATTATTGTGCCACCTGGGACAGGCACAGTGGTTCAGACCTGCCCTACACCACACTGAAATCTGCCTTGTGGCTGCTTCTGCTACACAAGACAGAGCTGCCCCCTCTCATTTCCTGCCACCGAATTTACTGTATTCTGTAGAAAGAGAAACATAGCTTCACCCCTGATCTCCCCCTAATATCACACTCCCCTGGCACAGCTGCACCTGTTCCCCACCCCTCCCCCAGGACTTTCCTGAAGACCAAGCTGCCACCTCCAGGCCTCAGCTAAGCAGCCTGCCTGAGAGCAAGGTTCTCTCAGCTCTCCTGGGACACAGGGAATGTCCGCTCACTCTGCTTCCTAGGACACACATGTCCACCTAGGGTCCACCTGTGAAGGGAGATACTTTAGACATCAAATAAAAAGGGTATTTATCCTGAATCATATATCCAATCTTGGTCCAGATTGGATACCCATCTTTTATATCTATAACAAGGTAAGCAATACTATAATTCCCACTCAATCACTCGGCCTAGACATGCAGATGAACCTTCTCTCCCTCTGCCCTCCTTTTTGTTCTCTCCTACTTTCTTGGTTACTTGCTATTTTTCTACACCTCCCTTCCCCTGCCCACCCATTCCTTCCTTCCTTCCTTCCTTCCCTCCCTCTCTCCTTCCCTCCCTCCCTCCCTTCCTTACTTCGTTCCTTCTCTTTCCTTTTCTTTCCTTCCTTTTCTGTATTTTTGGGCACGCAATCAGAATACTTTTTCAACAACATCTTCTGGAATAATTCTCTATATGTTCACGGCAATATTGATATACCTTGTTTATTGGTTCAATTTTTCATTTTTATATTTTGGAAATTTGTTGTGTAGTTTTGATTTGCATATGTAAAACATTTACATGGAACTGAAGTCAAAACTATAAAACAAGATAGATTTGGCGATTTTTGCTTCCATTCTAGAATTCTCTTTTCTCTTCTCTCTCTCACCCTATAGGTAACAGTAACTTTTTCAGTTCAGGTGAACTTTTTCACTTTTTCTTATTTATTGAGAAGTCTATCACTGTTTCAGGAATGCATCTTTCGTTTGTCATATGTGCAGTATGCATTGTTTTTATCTGACTGTCCTATTTTTTTTCCTCTGATAATTGGTTTTTATACATTTTAATTATCTTTCATTTTTTGGTGTCTGCATTTTGTGTCTTGCTTGTAAAGATGAACATACTTCAGAAGTTTAGATAAAGAAATTTACATAATTTTGTTGACATTTTATTCATTTATTACTTGATCTTGTTATCATGATATATCTGGAATTTTTATACAATAATTACTGTAGTAATAACAATAATGCTGCTGGTAAATATGGATACTGACTTTCTGGAAGTTTCTCTACTAAGCACATTGCATGTATATTTTATTGACTCTTCACAGAAACCTTATTGACCTGTTAAAGTCCTCTTGAATACAGCAGATGATAAATTGAGGGGTTAACTAACATTCCCTAAGTCATATACCTTAATTTGATAGCATTTTCAATCCATGCTTTGGGGTTCAGAAAATAAGATTTGTTCATTCTATTTGCATTTTCTAATCTTCACAAGTACCGGCACTAGTTTACAACATTGCGGGCCACTTATACTTCTTTTGTCAATTGCCTTTTATACCCTTTGCCTATTCTGTTGAGGTATTAATTTTTTCTTATTTGGTGGTAAGAATTAATATACGCTATTTTAGAGATAGTGATCCTTTATCAAATGTGTTGAAAATATTTCTCACCATTTGCTATTATTTATTTCAGCACCTTTTGGTAAACTTTGTATATGTCAATAAAATCTATCAATTTTTCTAGGGTCTCTATTATGATGTCAGACTCAGAGAGACCAATGTCACCTACAGTTAGTCTGCAATTCATCACCGTTTTAAGTCTAATGAATTCCTGTTTTCAGTTTTATTACAACAAAATCTCTAGTGCCTTTTAAGTTATCAACCCAGGAATATTTGTTTTCATATGATAAGTCAATTCCCAAAAGAGAACATAATAATCAAGTATTTACTTGCGGATATTAACATGCAACTTTATGACATGACAAAATATTACATACCTGTGGCTCTCTTTCTGGACTTACCTTTGCGTTCCATGAATCTTTTTATTTGAGTGCCTCTCTTCAGCATGGTAGCTTTATAGTTCATTTTACAATGCACTGGAGTTTGTTCCTCTTATTACTTTTTTAAGGATTTTCTATGCCTTCTAATGTGACGGCAATTCTCTCCCTTCTCATTTTTAAATAATCAGAGCTCTGTGCCAGGAAGGATTTTCCAGGCTCCAAGGCAGGTGAGCTTCCCCCTTCTCAAGGACCCTGACTACTCAGCTTTCAGAGCTGCTCCTGCAGCAGCCTCATGTCCTGCACGTGTGGTCCAGAGGCAGAGGGAGACCACCCGGAGCCCCCAGTGTTTCTCATTCCCTGCGATGATGACAGCAGAAATGGAATTCCCTGAGCTAGGCCAACACAACAACTGAGAGGGACACAGTTCTACATCTTATTCTGCATATTTTAAACATGTGTCTAAGCATATTTGTTATAGAGCAGGTGAAAATCTGTGTACGCACTACTGAATTCTCAATTATTTTACTGGACTTGTTTTATCATCTGTATCTCCATCTATGGATCCAGGCCCACTGCAGATATCAGTCTGCTTTCTGAGAGTACTGTTGCTTAATAAATATGCAATACCCAGGAAATTTGGAAGTTCAGATAAAAGAGTTTTTAGTTTAAGTATGTCCCAAATATTGCATGACATGGCACTGTGTGCTAATTAAAAAAAAAATTGCCACACTACTACTTGAATGAACAGACATCCTCTAATAAGATCACACACATTTGCACCCCCCCACACACACAAACAAACTCACACAGGATGACACAAATACACACCGCACCTCCACATGCTCATTCAACTTAGAGGGAAGTCCAAGACCCACCAACATACCTGACTGTCAATAAAGCAGGTTCAGGCCTTCTCAGAGTGGCCCTGGGTGTTGCCTCCAGTGTCCCTGCAGATGTGAAAAGGAAGGCAGTTCAGGGCCCTAATCAGAATATTCCTGGCAGAATGAGGCCCTGGCAGTGGCCTTACCTGATGAAACTCTGAAGGGCAGGGTGTGAGCATGCTGTGCACTGCCCCATGCAAAGGCTGGGCCTGTTAACTCCAGGCTCAGCTTCCCCCAGGTCTGCACTCCCTCTGCTGCAGGCCTGAGCTCTCCTTGCCCCTGGCTCTCTTCTGCAGAGAACCTACTCTCAGCTGCCACAGGAGGGCGCTAGAGAACGGGCCTGAGCAGAGAGGCAGGAGCTCCTCTGCAGGTCCTCCCAGGCAGCACCCCTTCTGGGAGGAAGGCTTGGGAGTCCCCTAAGACAGATCATCAGTAGTTTCTTTCTGCCTGTGACTCAGGAAGACCAGCTCCCCCCACTGCCTTCTATGCTAGGGATCACTTTCTTGTTGAGTGGGACCTGAGTTTTGAGAGGGTGTTGTGCTCCTCTTCATCTGGTCCCTTTCCTTCCAAGGCCCCAGAGAGGAAGGCATGGGGTGGGCCCTAGCCCTGCTTCTAGCTTTCCTGCCTCCTGGTGAGTGTGCTGCCTACGGAGAGGCTCACAGGTTTTGTTTTCTTCTTTTGTAAGTGGTGCCATACTACGGAATGCCTCATCGTATTTTGTGTTGTTTCATTGCAGTCAGTCAGGTATCTTCCAACTTAGAAGGGAGAACGAAGCTAGTCACCGGGTGGACCGGGTCATCTGATGTAATCACTTGTGATCTTCCGGTAGAAAATGCCAGATACATCCACTGGTACTTCCACCAGGAAGGCAAGGCCCTACAGCGTCTTCTGTACTATGACACCCACCAGTCCAAGATTGTGTTGGATTCAGGAATCAGTCCAGGAAAGAAGGATAATTATCTAATCCTGAAGGGGAGCTGGAAATTGGTACTGCAAAATCTAATTGAAAATGATTCTGGGGTCTATTACTGTGCCACCTGGGACAGGCACAGTGGTTCAGACCAGCCCTACACCAGACTGAAATCTGCCTTGGCTCCTTAGCTGCCCCCTCTCATGTCCTGCCACTGAATTTACTGTATTCTGTACAAAGATAATCACAGCTTCACTCCTGATCTCCGCCTAATATCACACTCCCCTGGCAGCAGCTGCACCTGTTCCCCACCCCTCCCCCAGGACTTTCCTGAAGACCAAGCTGCCATCTCCAGGCCTCAGCTAAGCAGCCTGCCTGAGAGCAAGGTTCTCTCAGCTCTCCTAGGACACAGGGAATGTCCACTCACTCTGCTTCCTAGGACACACAGGTATGCCTAGGGTCCCGCTGTGATTGAGATACTTTGGACAGCAAATGGGAAGGGTATTTATATCGAATCATGTATCCAGAGATCACAGCTGAGAGCAGTGCTCCTCTTTTAGGTATATAACAATATATGTAATACTATACTTACCACTAAAACACTTGGCCTAGATATGCAGTGGAAAATTCTCTTCCTCTGCCCTCCCTTTTTTTTCTCACTCCTTTCTTATTTACTTGCTTGCTTTTATGATTTTCTGCCTTCTCTCTCCCTCCCTCCCTCCTTCCCCTCCCTCCCTCCTTCCCTTCCTTCCTTCCTTCCTTCTTCCTTTTTTTCCTTCCTTCCTTTCTTTTCTCTCTCTTTCATTTTTGGGTACAGAATCAGAAGACTTTTTCAATAAAATCGACTGAAATAACTTATCTCCATATGATCATGCCAACATTCATATAACTAAGTTTATTTGTTCAGTTTTCATTTTTAAAAATTAGAAATTTGTTGGGTTTTTTTGTTTTATACTTGTTTTGCATATGTAAAATATTTACATGGAACTAAAATCAATATAATGTAGAATATTCATTTGGAAATTTTAAATTCCATTCTAGATTTCTTTTTTTTTCTTTCTTTGTTTTTATTTTTGAAATGGAGTTTCACTCTGTCACCCAGGCTGGAGTGCAGTGGTGCAATCTCAGCTCACTGCAACCTCCACCTCCCGGGTTCAAGCGATTCTCCTGCCTCAGCCTCCCGAGCAGCTGGGATTACAGGCACATGCCAGCACGCCCAGCTAAAGTTTGTATTTTTAGTAGAGATGGGGTTTCCCCATGTTGGCCAGGCTGGTCTGCAACTCCTGACCTCAGGTGATCTCCCGGCATCGGGAAGGTGAGCTTCCCTCCTTCAGAAGGACCCTGAGAACTCAGCTTTCAGAGTCGCTCCTGCGGCAGCCTCATCTCCTGCACGTGTGTCCAGAGGCAGAGGAGATCACCTGGAGGGCCCTCCCTTTCTCATTCCCAGCTGTGATGACATCAAAAACTGAATTCTCTGAGCTAGGTCAACACAACAACCGAGACGGACATTGTTCTACATCTTATTCTGCATGTTTTAAACATGAGTTTAGACATATTTGTTATAGAAGAGGGGAAATCTGGATATGCACTACTGAATTTCCACCGTTATCTTACTGTACTTGTTTCATTACCCATCTGGCCATCCGTTAATCCAGGTCTCCTGCAGGTATCAGTCTGCTTTGTGAGGGTAAGTTTGCTAAATAAAATATGCAATACCCAGAATATTTGAAAGTTTAAATAAATAAGCTTTTAGTTTAAGTGTGTCCCAAATATTGCGTGACATAGCACCCTGTACTACTTTTAAAAAACAAAACTCACACTTCTATTTCAACAAACAGAAATCCTCTAATAAAGAGATCACACACGCGCGCGCACACACACACACACACACACACGCAGAATCACATACAGGAGGAGAGTCCAAACCCACCAACATACCTGACCCTCAGTCCTGTTAATAAAGCAGGTTCAGGTCTTCTCAGAGTGTCCCTGGGTGTTGCCTCCAGTGTCCTTGCAGATATGAAAAGGAAGGCGCTTCAGGGCCCTAATCAGAAGCCCTGCACTGCCCGCTCCAAGGGCTGGGCCTGTGAATTCCTGGCTCAGCTTCCCCCACATCTGCACTCCCTCTGCTGCAGGCCTGAGCTCTCCATGCCCCTGGCTCTCTTCTGCAGAGGACCTGCTCTCAGCTGCCACAGGAGGGTGCTGGAGAACAGGATTGATCAGAGAGGCAGGAGCTCCTCTGCAGGTCCTCCCAGGCACCACCCCTTCTGGGAGGAAGGCTTGGGAGTCCCCTAACACAGGTCCTCAGTCACTTCTCTCTGCCTCTGACTCAGGAAGACCTGCTCCCACCCCTACCTTCTGTGCTAGGGATCACTTCCTTGTTGGGTGGGACCTGAGTTTTGAGAGGGTTTTCTGCTCCTCTTCATCTGGTCCCTTTCTTTCCAAGGCCCAGGAGAGGAAGGCATGGGGTGGGCCCTAGCCCTGCTTCTAGCTTTCCTGCCTCCTGGTGAGTGTGCTGCCTACAGAAAGGCTCACAGGTTTTATTTGTTTTCTTTTGCAAGGTGTGCCATACTAAGGAATGCCCATTATATTCTGTGTTGTTTTCATTGCAGCCAGTCAGATATTTTCAAACTTGGAAGGGAGAACGAAGTCAGTCACCGGGCAGACTGGGTCATCTGCTGTAATCACCTGTGATCTTCCTGGAGAAGGTGCCTTCTACATCCACTGGTACCTCCACCAGGAGGGGAAGGCCCCACAGCGTCTTCTGTACCATGAACTCTCCAACTCCAAGGTTGTGTTGGAATCAGGAATCAGTCCAGGGAAGTATGATACTTATGCCACCACGAGGAGGAGCTGGAAATTGAGAGTGCGAAATCTAATTGAAAATGATTCTGGGGTCTATTACTGTGCCACCTGGGACAGGCACAGTGGTTCAAACCTGCCCTACACCACACTGAAATCTGCCTTGTGGCTGCTTCTGCTACACAAGACAGAGCTGCCCCCTCTCATTTCTTGTAAGCGAATTTACTGTATTCTGAACAAAGAGAAACACAGCTTAACTTCCCCCTAATATGACACTTCCCTGGCACAGCTGCACCTGTTCCCCACCCCTCCCCCAGGACTTTCCTGAAGACCAAGCTGCCATCTTCAGACCTCAGCTAAGCAGCCTGCCTGAGAGCAAGGTTCTCTCCGCACTCCTAGGACATGGGGGAGGCCCATTCACTCTGCTTCCTAGGGTCCAGCTATAAAACCACATATTTTGGACAGCAAATGGGAAGAATATTTATAGTGAATTATGTATCCATCATGTATTAGAGATCGTGGCTTAAATGGTGCCCTTCTCTTGTGCCTATAACAATATAAGCTGTACTATAATTACCGGGCCTATATATGCAGTTGAACATTCTCTCCCTCTGCCCTCCTTTTTTTTTTCTCTCTTTCTACTTTCTTGGTTATTTACTATTTTTCCACACCTCCGTGCCCCTCCCCTCTCCACCCTCCCTGTCTCCCTCCCTACCTACTTCTCTCCCTCCCTACCTGTCTCCCTAGCTTGCTTCCTGCTTCCCTCCCTCCCTTCTCTTCCCATCCCCTCCCTCCCTCCCTGGCTCTGACCTGCCTGCCTTCCTTCCTTCCTTCCTTCCTTCCTTCCTTCCTTCCTTCCTTCCTTTTCTCCCTCTTTCATTTTTGGGCACACAATCAGAACACCTTTTCAACAAAATCATCTGGAATAATTGTCTACATGTTCACAGCAACTGTGATACACCTGGTTTATCTGCTCATTTTCCTTTTTATATTTTGAAAATTTGTTGTATTGTTTTGATTTGCATATGTAGAACATTTACATAAAACTGAAGCCAAAAATTATAAAACAAGATAGATTTAGAGATTTTGCTTCCATTCTAGAATTCTCTTTCCTCTTCTCTCTCTCACCCTATAGGTAACATCTTTTTCAGTTCAGGTGAACTTTTTCACTTTTTCTTGTTTATTGAGAAGTCTATCACTATTTCAGAAATACATCTTTTGTTTGTTATATATACAGTATGCATTGTTTCTATTTGAATGTCATATTTTTTTGCTGTGATAATCGGTTTTTATACATTTTAATCCATGTTTCATTTTCTGGTGTCTGGATTTTGTGTCTTACTTGGAAAGGTGAACATACTTCAGAAGTATGCCCAAAGAAATTCATATCATTTTGTTAATGTTTTTCATTAATTACTTGATATTGATATGATCTATCTGGAATTTTTATACAATAGTTACTGTAATAACAATAACACTGATGGAAATATGGGTACTGACTTTCTGTGAGTTACTGTACTAAGCACATTACATGTGTATTTTATTGAATCTTCACAGAAACCTTATTGACGGGTTAATTATCATTGAATATAGCTGATGAGAAATTGAGGGGTTAACTAACATTCCCTAAGTCATATACTTTAATTTGATAGTGACTTCAGTCCAAGCTCTGGGGTTCAGAAAATGAGATTTGCACATTCAATTTGCATTTTCTTATTTTTATGAATACTAGCATTACTTTACAGCTTTATAGGCTATTTATACATCTTTTGTGAATTGCCTTTTAATACTCTTTGCCTATGCTTCTGTTGAGGTATTAAATTTTTCTTGTTTGTGAGAATTAATATTCACCATTTTAGAGATATTGATCGTTTCTATCAAACATGTCGAAAATACTTCTCATCATTTGCTGTTATTTATTTTTGGCACCATTTGGTGAACTGAACTTTGTATATTGCTTTTAATAAAATCTGTCAATTTTTCTAGGGTCTCTATTATGACGTCAGGCTCAGAGAGAACAATGTCACCTATAATTGGTCTGCAATTCATCATCATTTAAGTCTAATGATTTCCTATTTTCAGTTTCATTACAACTAAATCTCTATTTGTACCTTTTACGTTAGCAGCCCAAGAATATGTGTTTCCATATGGTAAGTCAATTACCAAAGGAGACTGTATTAAATAATCAAGTATTTCCTTGTGGATATTAACATACAATTTTAGGACACGATAAAATATTACATTCCTGTAGCTCTGTTTCTGGACTTTCCACTGAGTTCCATGAATCTTTTCATCGTAGTGCCAGTATTGGCCTCTCCTCAGCATGGTAGCTTTTGAGTTCATTTTATATTCTAGTGAAGTTTGCTTCTCTTATTACTTTTTTGTTTTAAGGATTTTCTATGCCTTCTAATGTGATGGCAGTTCTCTCCCTTCTCATTTTTAAATCATCAGAATTCTCTCACAGGCAGGATTTTCCAGGCTCCAAGGCAAGTGAGCTTCCCCCCTTCACAAGGACCCTGAGGACTCAGCTTTCAGAGCTGCCCCTGCAGCAGCCTCATGTCCTGTCCGCTTGGTCCAGAGGCAGAGGAAGACCACCCGGAGCCCCCAGCGTTTCTCATTCCCAATGGTGATGACAGCAGAAACGGAATTATCTGAGCTAGGCCAACACAACAACCGAGAGGGACATTGTTCTACATCTTATTATGCATGTTTTAAAAATGTTTCTAAATGTATTTGTTATAGGAGAAGTGAAAATCTGTGTATGTACTATTGGATCTAGCAATTATTTTACTGGACTTGTTTTATCATCTGTATCTCCATGTATGAATCCAGTTCCACTGCAGATTTCAGTTCACTTTGAGGGTACGGTTGCTAAATAAAATATACAATACCCAGGAAATTTGGAAGTTCTGATAAATAACATGTTTTCAGTTTAAGTATGTCCCAAATATTGCATGACATGGCACTGTGTACTACTTAGAAAAAAAAAAAATCTCACTTCTACTGCAATGAAAAGAAATCCTCTAATAAAGAGATCCCATACATGGGCACCGCCCCAACACACAAACTCACACAGGATGACACAAACACCCGCCCCACCCCCACACAGTCATTTATCTTACAGGGAAGTCCGAGACCTGCCAAAATAACTCACTTTCAGTCCTGTTAAAAAAGGAGGTTCAGGCCTACTGAGAGTATCCCTGGGTGTTGCCTACACTGCCCTTGCGGATGTAAAAAGGAAGGTGGTTCAGGGCTGTAATCAGAGGCTTCCTGGCAGGCCAAGGTCCTGACATCAGCATTAGCTGCTGAAACTCTGAAGGGAATGGTGTGAGCCTGCTGTGCACTGCCCTGTCCAAGGGCTGGGCCTGTTAACTCCAGAACTGGCTTCCCCTAGGTCTGCACTCCCTCTGCTGCAGACCTGAGCTCTCCTTGCCCCTGGCTGTCTTCTGCAGAGAACCTGCTCTCAGCTGCCACAGGAGGGCGCTGGAGAACGGGCCTGAGCAGAGGGGCAGGAGCTCCTCTGCAGGTCCTCCCAGGCAGCACCCCTTCTGGAGGAAGGCTTGGGAGTCCCCTAAGACATATCATCAGTAGTTTCTTTCTGCCTGTGACTCGGGAAGACCAGCTCCCCCCACTGCCTTCTGTGCTAGGGACCATTTCCTTGTAGAGTGGGACCTGAGTTTTGAGAGGGTGTTGTGCTCCTCTTCATCTGGTCCCTTTCCTTCCAAGGCCCAGGAGAGGAAGGCATGGGGTGGGCCCTAGCCCTACTTCTAGCTTTCCTGCCTCCTGGTGAGTGTGCTGCCTACGGAGAGGCTCACAGGTTTTGTTTTCTTCTTTTGTAAGTGGTGCCATACTATGGAATGCCTCATCGTATTTTGTGTTGTTTCATTGCAGTCAGTCAGGTATCTTCCAACTTAGAAGGGAGAACGAAGCTAGTCACCGGGCGGACCGGGTCATCTGATGTAATCACTTGTGATCTTCCGGTAGAAAATGCCAGATACATCCACTGGTACTTCCACCAGGAAGGCAAGGCCCCACAGCGTCTTCTGTACTATGACACCCACCAGTCCAAGATTGTGTTGGATTCAGGAATCAGTCCAGGAAAGAAGGATAATTATCTAATCCTGAAGGGGAGCTGGAAATTGGTACTGCAAAATCTAATTGAAAATGATTCTGGGGTGTATTATTGTGCCGCCTGGGACTGGCACAGTTGTTCAGACCTGCCCTACACCACACTGAAAACCTGCCTTGTGGCTGCTTCTGCTACACAAGACAGAGCTGCCCCCTCTCATTTCCTGCCACCGAATTTACTGTATTCTGTACAAGGAGAAACACAGCTTCACTCCCGATCTCCGCCTAATATCACACTCCCCTGGCACAGCTGCACCTGTTCCCCACCCCTCCCCCAGGGCTTTCCTGAAGACCAAGCTGCCACCTCCAGGCCTCAGCTAAGCAGCCTGCCTGACAGCAAGGTTCTCTCAGCTCTCCTAGGACACGGGGGAGGCCCGCTCAGTCTGCTTCCTATACAGGGACTCCTAGGGTCCAGCTGTGAAACCAGATATTTTGCACAGCAAATGGGAAGGATATTTATACTGAATCATGTATCCAACCCTGGTCCAGATATGGCAGGTTAGAGTGGTGCTCACCTCTTATGTCTATATCAGTATAAGCAATACTATGATTGCCACTAAATCACTAGGGCTAGGTATGCAGTTGAACCTTCTCCCTCTCTTCTGTCCTTTTTGCTCCCTCTCTCCTTTCTTGGTTGCATACTATTTTTCTACACCTCTCTTCTCCTGCCCTCCCTAGCTCCCTCCCTAGCTTGCTTCCTCCCTTCCTCCCTCCTTTCCTCCCTTCCTCACTTCCTCCTTTCCTTCCTTTTTTCTCCTCTTCTTTTTTGGGAACACAATAAGAATACTTTTTAAACAAAATCATCTGGAATCATTCTCTATGCGTTCACGGCAACATTGATACACTTGGTTAATTTGTTCAGTTTTCATTTTTATATTTTGGAAATGTGTTGTGTTGTTGTGATTTGTATACGTAGAACACTGACATGAAACTGAAGTCAAAATTATAAAACAAGATAGATTTAGAGATTTTAGCTTCCATTCTAGAATTCTCTTTTTTTCTCTCACACCCTATAGGTAACAGTATCTTTATCAGTTCAGGTGAAATTTTTCACTGTTTCTTCTTCACTCAGAAGTCTATCACTATTACAGAAATACATTATTCTGTTTGTCATATGTGCAGTATGTATTGTTTCTATTT